TAATTACTAAAACACACATAATATAATAGCATGAAGGAAAAAATCCTTCCCCCATTTCAAATTCCTGCTCCATGAGCGTTTGTAGGAAGAGTATAATAGGGAGTGTCAATTTTTTCTCTTTCCTCTGTGGAACGAGCCAACTTACCGTACACGTGCGGACTTGAATGGGTCTAGAGATTGTTGCGGCCCACAAAAACAGAACAGGTTCCAGCCACGACCGCATCTGTTTCATGCCTCCATAACGATCACCGTAACCGAGTCTTGGATTGTTCCGATGCTGGATCTGGACTCCACCAACATCGAGAATAAATGACATAATTAGAGAAAGAGAGTTTCATAATTGTTTACAAAATAATTTCCCCAATCCTTCTTCCGTGTGCTAATCGCCTAATCTCTTCCCTATGAAAAGAAACCCAAGCATACTAAAAAGATCCATTCATGCTCATGAAGAAGGGTGATAAATTGCATGCAAGTAAAGTTTAAAGATTGAGTCATTTAATCAAATCATAATCAACCACCCCTTTTTCCATCATTTGTAAGCTCTAACAGATAAGTGACAAAGGAATCCACAATATCGCTTCACTGTAACAATACAGTATTATTGAAGATTGGTGGCTTTCTCTTTTTCTTCGTTAAACTAGCGTCGAAGATATACAAAGAGAGGGGGGGTTTAAACAAGTGATAAGAGAATGGAAGATTAAGAAATGAAAAACAGAGACCGGGAGGGGGTGGAAATTGACGTTCCCCGGGGGGGGGGGGGGGGGGGAGGATGACATACTGGAAAAAGGTTTGCAAAGCTAAAATTAAGGACAAGAAAACAGGGATGGGGAGAAGTGGCTACCGGCGGCAATATAATTGAGATCGAGAGAGAGAGAAGTGAACCATGAGCCGGTGAGCACTTAACAGCTTTTTCTAGGGGATATAGGGTTTTCTTTAAGCCCTTTGATTTCTCAGTATTGGTAAGATATATATGAAAGGGCAAAATAATACTCATTTTTTATTGCTAAAAAGAAAAAATTTAACAAAAAACTAATGCATGGATTCTAATGGACTAACCGCTAACCATAGAATAAAAAAGTTGAATGGGCCTGACTCATACGGGATTTGACCATCAAGTTTCAAGTAAAACAAATGAACATCATGGGTTTGCCATCCTAAAACATGCTATTTTCTCTATCATAACATATATTATTTTATTATTTTATATCTTAGTGGCTAAAATATAATGTATTTTAAAGTTATTAAATGGTTCGAGCTCGACCAACCTGATTAGTCCAATTTTTATAATTTCAAATATATATTATGTAATTATTTGATATCCTAATGATTAAATTATAGTGTATTTTATAGGGGATTTTTATTCATTTTTCTGGAATTCAATTTCTATAAAATGTACTCCACCTCATCATATTACCAGAAATAATACTGTTTCACAAGGTAATAGCCTACAGGTACTCGAACTTGGTTCATAAGGCTGGTTTTTTGATTCGTTGCATCATCCATGCATCTTTCCTGCTAAAATTCACTATATTTATCATGTGTTTTCTAAAAAAAAACTACACAACAATAAGTTATACACCCCATTACATTCTCAAATTTCATATCTCACCTTCCTCCGGCCAACTGGCCGAGGCCCACGCTAGTTTTTTTATCTACTTTGATGTGTTTAATTGTTTTTATTCTTTTATTTTGATTTTATGGTTTCCTCCAATATCTCAAAATTTTATCCAAAAAAATTCTTCTCAATGATAGGTTGAGTTTGCATTTGAACAGATAACAAATAAGAAGGTTAGCTCAATTCATGCATAAATACCTACATTTCAGAGCTAAATATATTTTTTAATAACAAAACAACGTTAGAAACCATTACAAATCACTTCTCAGATCACAAATACATCGTGAAACTCTTCTACCTTTGAGGAGGACATCAATGGGCCAATGGAAGTGGAGCTGCTTCGAGGAAGGTCATTCATGATGATTCAAGTGATGGAAGAAGGAGGACGAGTTGAAGAGAAGACAGATCATAAGAACCAAGCTTAACGGGTTCAGTCTTAACTGGTTTGGGTTTGTTTCGGGTTTAACGGGTTCTTAACGGGTTTGGGGGCCTTAAAACTGAGTTTTGCATTGTTTTTTCCTTCTTAGAGTCGGATTAGAGGTGTTTCCCTTTTGGGAGTCGGGTTTGGAGTTGTAAGGCCTATTTAAAGAGGCCGAACCATCTGTTTAAGGGTAGACGATCTTGATAATAAACCCTAAAGGCTATTGTCGTGTTCCTTTAAGGAATTATGTTCTACTTCTCTGTCGAGTATCTTCAGAGGCTAGAGCAAACTCTTATCAGCTAGGTATTCACCCTGGTTGTGGCGAGCTACCCTTATATTAATTGCCCTCTATTCCAGGTTGAATCTGTCTGATCGATCTCATATCGATTGCCCTTATTCACGAGTGAGTTTTGTCCGATCAATTCCACTCTATTTGAGTTTGTTTGGTTCGAGAAGCTTGACCCCTGCACTACTTTGATTATATCAACCTTGGCTAATTTTTCTCGAAGCTGCCATTGTGCTTCTTCTAAATACAAAAATTGGTCCGCAAGAAAAAGAGAAATACAAAAATTGTTTTGAGAAATGGTTTTGTAGTGTGTGAGGCATATCGAAAGTATGACGAGAGAAATGAAAGATTGTGCGGCCTTTTGCATCTACTGGAAGAAGATCAATTTCGCTAATAATGATTTGTAATATTATATTGAAAGTTTTACTGGATAAGTAAGTAATAATAGTATTTTAACGATACAATCATATATTTTAACGATACAATCATAACTCTAGTTATATTGTATAGTATTGGTTCTAACTTAAACATAACAAACTAATGTATCATTTTGTTACAATTTTCATCCACCCATTGTTATTTGTTAAGACTTAAGAGGGAGAAGAAATTAACTCGTTTAATACTTCTTTCATTCTCATTTATTGATTTAATTCAATCTTATTTTATTTTATTTTATTATTTTATAGTAAACAAACAAAATTTTGTATGAATGGGCTTTAGGTCTAGGGGTACAAATTTAATTGTTTGCAATTGAATATTTATCAGGTGTGATTGAATCAGTAAGCACCGCATACAATATCCATAAAGAATTATCTGAAGGGGACTCTTTATTATGTACGAAGTTGCTCGATTGTAGGAGAGAAGAGCGAAAGACGTTGAAGTCGTTCATGATCAAAGTGAGAGTCAATCTTAATGTACTTGATGCGTTCATGGAAGTTAGGATTAACAAGTAACAACAATGTGTAATGCAACTTCATTGTCACGGAAGAGGAGCATTAGATCAGGTTGTGGAACTGTGAGATCAGTCAAGAGTTGTCTTTATTTACAAGAGTTCGCTAATGACGAAAGCCATTAAGGTATTCTGTATGTATATATTTTCGATAAGTACTTTTAATATTGGAAAAGAAAAAAAAGGAGGAATTTGGCATTGCTTTCCCATTGATAAATGTTCACTACTATACAAAATTAATGGGAAGTGTTGTAGGTCTGAAAATTACTCTGACTCATTCCTGAAGGCTGAAGGGTCAGAATGTATAACTGACTTGTCCCTGTTTCCTTCTTGACACTATCTGACCCTCAAGGGTCGGGACGGGTCGTCGACCCTAATCAACACACTATTTTTTTATAAATTATATTTTGGTTCTCAAAATTATTTTTTCTTACAATTTAGTACCGAAATTTTATTTTTTTACAAGTCTGTAAATTTTGATGATAACTTAGCGAACTGAAAAATCTGAGTAGCTAAAGGAAGGGAAATCAACCGAGACCCCGTTTTGGTACCTAAATTTTTTTATTTTTACAATTTATACCTAGACTTTTGAAACTTTACAAAGAGGTCAAATGTGGTATGAGATATTTGTTGTTGCTAAGGGTCACGGGGTCAAAAAGTGACACGTGCCTAAGTTGTCCGGTTGTCCGTACCCATCCCGATCTTTATAGAGTTAACAAATGACTTGTCCCTAATCTGACCCTGTATACAAAATGACTCATCTCAACCCTTAGAAACGGGACGAATCAGGACTGATCAGTGGGTCTTTCGAGTCAAGCTTACACCCTAAAGTGTTGTGCGGGTTTTTTATGGACTTGTAGGCAAGGCAAGCAAAGCAATTTGTGGCGCATTTTTAGCAATTTCATCAAGTTTGTTTTATTTGTGGAAAACCAAAACATATTCTGCGAGCAACGTACCTTCTTGAATTTGTCTTTACTTGTGGAAACATTACAAATTAAACTTGCAATGAAACATGGCGCTCCTCAATTTTTAGTTACTAACCACTCCCTCAATCATTTCTAATCATCGCTTAATACTTTACTAATTACTGGAAATTAGGGACAAAATATATACGTTGATGGAATTGCGGAAAAGTGAAATGAGTGAAGAGTTCTCTTATTTTAATTTTTAGTGGAAGATATATAGAAGAGAGAGATCAAATTACATGTAACTTGTAGTTAGTATGAGAATTATACGTGGGACACTGTAGATGAGCAAGAACAACTAAACTCATCCACAATCTATCAATACCATTTTTCTTTGCGAGTATTACCCATACTCAGATTTGTACTCGGTTAACGCAGAAATGTTTCTCTTTTAACTTGGTCGAGAAGAGTCGGATACCCAAGTTTATGATTGCCATCTTCCCTCCCACCAATCGCTTTCCATCCAAGGGTATGAACCCCCGAACTTACTCTGTACGAATGAACAGAGAAATTTCCCTCACTCGCCAAAACTGGATGCAAGAATGGCGAGGAGTCTCCAACAAGTTCCGTTGATAGCGCGGAAAGACTGGAATCAACTGTCCAGCAAATGCAGGAAGACTTGGAGACGTACGAGGAAGTCTTCTGCCCGGCTATATAAAGATGAAGATGGCAATATAATCATGGAAATCACCAATTAGCAACCTGCCAGTTCCCTCTCCTAAACATTTACAAATTACAAGCTTTTTAACCACACAAATATCAATATGGCGCACCTCGTTGACTCGGTCAGCTTGGCTATTATGGTGGCCGCAGCAGTACTACTACTGCTGGCCACCATCGACTCGTCCGTAGCCGCTGCTCGTGCCGCCCCTCTGACGGATGCTCTCATCCGTCAGATGCACGAGCAGTGGATGACCAGTCACGGACGAGTCTACGTCACCTCAGCAGAGAAGGAGCGACGGTACCAGATATTCAAAGTCAACGTGGCCCGCATAGAGTCTTTCAACGCGGCGGGGAACAACAACACGACGTCGTCTTACAAGCTGGGAGTCAACCAGTTTGCCGACATGACCAACGAGGAGTTCCTAAAGAGCCAGACCGGGTTCAAGGGTTACATTACGAGGAGTAATGGTAGTAGTGTTGATTCACCTTTCAAGTACGCAAAGGCGGCTAGTGGAAATGATGACGTGCCAGCTGCCACCGTGGATTGGCGGGAGAAGGGAGCTGTTACGGCGGTTAAGAATCAGGGCCAGTGCGGTTGCTGCTGGGCGTTCTCCGCCGTGGCCGCGGTGGAGGGGATCAGCCAGATCACGAGCGGGGAGCTGACGTCACTTTCCGAGCAGGAGCTGGTGGATTGCGACAGGAGAGGGTACAACAACGGGTGCGACGGAGGGGTGGTGGACGAAGCCTTCAGGTTCGTTCCTACAACTAGTATTATGTTATACTACGAGCACTATTTATTTATTGAGTGTTGTTATGTAAATTGACAGAGTTATATTTGTTACAGGTATATCATTCAAAACTTGGGCGGCACCATGGCCACTGAGGCCGACTACCCTTATACCGCAGCCGACGGCTCGTGCAAGGCTGGCAGGCCGATTGGTGCGGCGAGCGGCGGAGGGGTGATGATCACGGGCTACGAAGATGTTCCGAGGAACGACGAGGAGGCGTTGCTGCGTGCCGCGGCGAACCAGCCGATCTCGGTGGCCATCGATGCGGGCGGGGACTCGTTCCAGTTCTATCATAGCGGGGTCTACACCGGCGAGTGCGGGACGCGGCTGAACCACGCGGTGACTGTGGTTGGGTATGGGGAGAGCGAGGACGGGATGAAGTACTGGCTGATAAAAAACTCGTGGGGAGAGACCTGGGGGGAGGAAGGTTATATGAAGATGGAGAGGGATGTGGCGGATGAAGGCGGTCGTTGTGGCATTGCCATGCAAGCTTCTTACCCGACTGCTAATTAATAATTTTAAGTTGATGAATATTTCTAATTACGTATACTGTTTCAGCAATTTCAATCATATGTAACTCGGTAATGTGGTGGTGGATATTGGTTATGTCTAGCCATGAATCCAACCTCTTCTAATATGATACTTATAGCTTTCTACCCGGTCCGCTTTGACCGGATGAGTCTTGTTTTTCGGTCATATTAATCAAATTATCATAGTGATCAATGAAATTATTTCGAACTTATTTGCCTTTTATGTCGTAGTAATTCATTCTCTTACTTGGCTATGATGTGGCAGCTTTCATTATAAATTAAACTACATCGACACGAAGCACATTTCAATCCTTACTACACACAACAACAATTCAGATTGATGACATCTCTACATGATGACATTGCATGAACTTTTGCTAACCGTTTCAAAAACTCTCTTTTAATTTTTCGAACAAGCTATCTCATATACGAACACTCATTTTTGCACTAGCTAGTTATTCCACTTTTCCAGCGACATACCCAAAAATTACATCAAGAATAAAGTTGTCAAATAGTGACAAATTCAAATACTACAATTCCTAAAATAAAATTTTACCAAAAAACTTTTAGCCAAAATTTTAATTTACGATTTGTCAATTCATAAACTTGGTCCGCACCTCTCCCGTCAAATTAGAGCTCCAATGCAACAACTTGTGCACGTTTTCCACATCCTCGTGGATCTTTTCCTTACGGGAACTTACAATTAGCATTACCTGAAAGAACCCAGGACCAGAACAGAAAATTAGGTTAATCATCTTTCTTTGTCAAACTATAATTGGAACCAAGCTAATCCATACAAGGAGATAGTTAAATCAGTTCATATATAAAGTGGGGTACTCAGAAGGGAGAAAGGAAAAGTATAGGGGGCGGGATAGATATTTTACTTGGATCGACGGCGGTGACAACGCCGGTGTTGGAGAAATAACAAGTGGAGTCCAGGCTACCTTTGGCCCGATAGTAAGAGTTCATGGCGAAAGTAGCATGGGCCACAACGTTGTTGGGCTCGAAGCACGGGCCTCCTGGCTGAATGGGCTTGCAATCCGCTCCATTCCCGCACGCATAGTCTATGTTTGCCTGCAATGTCGGAGCCGCTGCTCCGGCCTTGGCCACACACCATTTCTTCCCGCCACCGGCGGCTGGCACCGGAATCGCCGGAGTTGCGCCTCCAGCGCTGCCTTTGTGGGTTTTGCGGCCGCCCTGACGCCCGATGGGAGCCAGAGGCTGCCAATATTTATATATTGATCATAAGAGGTAAATGAAAAACTATACATGAGCAAGTTGAGGATTGGAAGTATAGTTTGATCAAAGAAACATTACCTAGGACCAAATTCAAATATCTCAAATATGGCTATTGTACTATAGTTGCTAACATGAAATCAATGACAAATTGCAAATTATGGTTTGATCTAGTGATCTCTTCACTGATTTTCAATTTGGAGGTTCTAGATTTGAATCTTAGAATAGACTTTTTCTTCCCGCTAACCTTAGTTGCATGTAAAAAAATAACCAATATTGAATTAGGTGAAAAATAATTCTAATTACACGAAAGGGACTATATGTTTGGTCAACAAACTAATTTATAGTCGAGGAAAAGGAAAAGTTTTAAGATTACAACATGTAAAAAGTAACAAAAATGACAACTCTATGTTTATGATTAAAGAATGAAAATATTATATTCTAAGTTAATGACGTTAGGTGGGTATCAGTCGATTCGGTCCAGAATTTGATCAAATTGGGATAGGATATGACCCAAAAAAAAAGTAAAAATGAGGATCAGAATCGGACCAAAAGCATGTTTGGTTCATTTAGTTAGATTTTGATCCAATTCAATTTTAATAAATTTTTTATTCGTACTTAAAAGTTAAAATCATTCATCGAATCGAAATATATTCCATCCGATCTGATTCGGTACGATTCGATTCGGGGGTGAACTGAATTGTTGCCCACCCTTAAATGACGTAATAAGATGGATGATATTACGTGGATTTTTGTATAATTATCAGTTGATGAGAATGTAATGAAAAGAGAGAGATTAAGAGAAGTCCACAAACGAACCTGTTCGGAGCGCAAGACGCCGCAGTGATAAACGGGAGTCATATCGGGCCTGAACAGGCCCCAATTCTGCTCCGTAATCGGGCCGGGCTTCTCGTTCTCATTAAACAGCGCAAACAAGAAAATCCCGATCCGCTTATTGGGCACCAACGGCGTCCCCACCCCGTCAACGCTCCGTCTGACGAGCTCGGAATTGTACCACGCGGCGTTCTCCACGTTGCACTCCAGCTGTCCGGGGAGACAAAGAGTGGGCCAGCCCGTCTCGCCGACGAGGAGGCCCACGTCGGGGAAGCCCAGCTTCCTCATGGCGGTGTAGGTGGCGTCGAGGGTGGCGTCGAACATGTTGGTGTATGTGATCCCCGTGACCGGGTCGTGGACCCCCGGGTTGGGCCGGAAGAGGGCGTAGTTGGCCATCTGTGGGGAGTAGCCGAAGTAGGAGTACGGGTTGACGGTGAATGGGGCTTTGGTCTGGCGGAGGAATTCGAGCATCGGTGCGTAGACTGTGACGTCGTGGCCGGGCCAGAATTGGCCGGCGCTTGGTGGGTCGGAGGCTTTGAGGATGCCCATTGAGTGGGCTGTTGTTACCTGCAGCCCACAAAGAAAGAAGGAAGTTTAGCACACATTGAGAAAATAGATATTGATGCTATATTAATTTTCACGACTCGAGTTGTTAGGAGAGATTCTGTAAGGAACTGGTTAAAATTCTCCGTATATGAACCTACTCCAACAACTCGAGTTATTGGGGATCGGTTGGTTTGTGACATGGTATCAGCGAGTCTGATTTATATTTGGGGTCATATGTTCAACTCTGCACGACCCTCAATACAAGATGCTGACATGTAGATGTCTGAAATCACATGGTATGTGATTCATATGTATGTGCAAACTTCAAGAGCATAAGTTGACTTTCATTTTATCAAGAGGGCGTGTAAGGACGTGGTTAAAATCGACACACGGACCTCTCACAACAACTCGAGTTGTTGGGATCAGTTGTTTTGTGACAACTTCAATAATGAATCATAAATCGACGTACTTACTTAAAGTTTGTATGGGTCCAAATATCATCTACTTATCAAATTGGGTGGTCGGGATTTGAACACAAAAAATCTCGATCACAAAAGACTCTATTATCCATGTCAAGTTGTTGATAAATATTCAATTATGAATCATATGTCACTTAATTATTAACACACCCGCTTAAGCGAAAGTTAACTAGAAAAAAAAATGAAATTTACCCATGCATTATAAATTTAAAATATCATGTATTTTCTAACGAATAGGTTCAATGAGATTCAAACGAAAAACATTTCTATCACATAAAACTCTCATCCAGTCATCCTGATGTCATGTGAAGAAGCGTCACAATAATAAATCAAATAACACGTATTAAAAGGGTCACGAGATAATAAAAAATTCACCTGAATGTCATTAATGCCGGCCTGGACCAGAGCTTGATGAACAGCTTTCATGGCGGGGACGAGATTGGAAATCAAATTATCGTCGAGGGTGGCCATTATCTCGTTCCCCACGAGAACTCGGTTGATCTTGGTCTGCGGGTGGAAGGGGGCAATGTTGTCATTTATCCACCCGCGGGCCGCGCCGACGTCCGCGAGAGACGGGATCAGGCCGTTGGGAATCGTGACGGTGACGGAGAGCCCGCTGCCGGCGAAGGCTCGAAGGACGTCCGGGTTGGCGTCGAAGAGCTTCACGCTGTCGATGATCGTCTGCGTCTTGAGGAAGTTGGCCACCGTGGCGGGCGGCGGCAGGTTGTTCCCGAGGGTGCCGTAGTTTACTCCGATTGCGGAGGCGGTGGTGGAGAGGCTGAGCACGGCGGCGGTGAGACGGAGGAGGTGGAGGATAAAGTTGTGATTATTAGTCCCCATTTCTTTTAGCATTATTTTTTTGTAAGTTTTCCTTTTTTTGTCTTCTCTATATAATGCGAGGAATTTATAGTAGTGGAGAATCTAATTTATTTGTTGTTTTGCTTTTGCTATTTTTTTACAGGTAGATCCGCTTGAATTTGTGGTGGATAATTCGTAAATCTCCTTCTCGTGTGTTTGGGACAAAAATTATGTCGGTAAGGTGAACTAGCAAGTGAACAACGCACATTTGGACAATTGGACTACCATTTTCTAAGGTGGATAATCATTTTAAAAAAATAGTTGAGATTTTGAAAGGTTGTAAATAGAAATGAAAAGGAATTGAAAGTTACAAGAATATTTTGAAATACTACATTCATAAGAAGTGGAGGGAAAATGAGGTATTTATATGGAAAATCTCACTAAGACTAGTAAAAGGAGTAGAGGATAAAAGTGTGATGTGTCTTTAGGTTGACATCATTATTTGTTTTAGGCTCGATCGATTTGGTTTGACTAAATGTTTTGGTAATTGGTTATATTGGTTTTTGTAACCAATCAGAATTTAATGGATATAACAATTGGAGTGGACTGCCCATTCCCACTACGTACCATGCTCCATATAATTTAATGGTAGAAGATTTTTTAACGAACCAATACATTGGTTGTGGTTCAATTGTCCACTCAAACAGTTGTATTCTTCGCATGCATCCCTTCGTTTTCTATACATATATAGCACCAACTCCGGCTTGTCCTTTAAGATACAAGTTTTTCATGTTTTTTTCAACAGAAAGAAACAAAGAGAATTTCGTGGATTCTCTTCTCTACAAAAGTGTTAATTAAATAATATAGTCGTGTGACTTCTTACCGTTCGTTGGTTTCTGTGGTTTCCATATCATTAAGCTATAAAATGTACGTCTGTTTTATCGCGAGAGGATTAATTTCCATAAGCTTGAGTCTCGTAAAGGGGAAATACATTTTTGAAGGATAAATAGTATATTTTATTGACTCGAACGTTGTCTATGCTTGTTTAATGACTTTTTCATGCATATAGTCTTAACTCCTCTTTTATTTTTCACCATTTCAATTTATGTATATAGTATACACATATTTGCATGTTAAAATTTTTTAGTATATCCAAGACATACTAAAAAAATAAAATAAAAATGATGATTTTATTATCGAGCGGTAAATGGCATTTTAAACCCGATATAAATTTCTCGCTATAAATGTCATGTGTATATAGAAAAAAGTTCAATTTACTAATTAACTTAGTTTTTTCTAATGTGGTATAGTGCCTTAAAAAATATCAACATTTTTTTATTCAAGATAAGCTTCCAGGTATGATTGGACACAGGGACGGAGCCAACATTTGAAAATAGGAGGGGCCAAAAATAAAAGATAAAAAAATCCAAATAAAATATTAATTGTATTTTAACAGTACACAGCGTTCTTTAAGATCATTGAAATCACTCAAAATAGCGTCTAAACTAAAAGTTTCTGCAAGCTCTCGCTCAATAAAGATAACTAAGTTATCAGCTAGAAAATCATCATTCATCTTGTTCCGCGGCCTGTTCTTCACTATCTTCATAGTTGAAAATAGGGATGGCAATGGGCCAAAATGGGCCGGGTATTGCTCAACCCAGCCCCACCCCGTCATTTTTTTCCCTGGCCCGCCCCGCCCCAAAACCCACCACGGGCCTGCTTATGGTGACCCACGCCCCAACCCGCACGGGTCGGGTCCGACCCAGACCCGCCCTGTTCAGTGATAAACTGATAATTCAAAACAAGTGCACAAACTAATAATTGATAAAAAAGAACAAAATAGCATGCTTAAACCATTCCAACCGAATTAAAAGCATAAATCCAAGTCTTCCGAAACAACAAAACATCAAACTGAAAATAAGGTTCAAACCCAGAAATCTTCAAAACAAAACAAAATAGAAATCATAACATTCCAACAAAAACTCCTCTTCAAAAAGCAGCAAAGAACATCACAGCAACTTGAATCTCCCACAGCAGCTTAACAATTCCCAGCAAGCAGCCCTCTTCAATCATCAAGCTTTATCTTCCACCTTGTCATCATCATCTGAATCATCACACTCATCATCCTCCAAAGGATCAACTGTTTTTCACAATCATTCAACACGTAAGTATCAAAATTTAGAAAGTCAATGGAAAAACAGAATTGCATAATAGAAAAATAAACAGAGTTAGTGGCAAGAAATAAAATAAAAACATGTACCTTCAGAATTCAGCCAGTTTTGTGCACACATTAAGGCTTCCACAGTCTTGGGGTGAAGTCTGCTACGTTGAGGACTGATGATCCTTCCACTTGTACTGAAGGCCGATTCTGAAGCAACTGTTGAAGCAGGAATAGCCAGAATATCTCTAGCAACTTTGTGCAGAATAGGATACTTCCCCTTATTGGACTTCCACCAAGATAGGACATCAAAATCAGGGATATTCCTAATTATATCATCTTCCAAATATGCATCCAACTCTGATCTCACAGGGCGTTTCCTTTTCTTGCTGGAGGCGTATGAGTGAAACTCAAGAGCAAAACAATTTTCAGAACCATTTCCTTCTCCACCACCCCCATTAGCAACATTCACTTGTTCCTCTTCTCTTTCTTTCTCCTCATACTCAGCAAGCAAATGACGGCAGTAGCTAAGTATGTTCTCTATCTCATCCTCACTATCTATACCATATATTTTAGGAAAGTAGCACAGCAGCACCTCATTCTTATATCTTGGATCAAGAACAGCAGCTACTCCCATCAAAACATTCACACTCAACCAATATTTGTCAAACTTATCTATCATATCTGATGACATTGATTCAATCACCTCAATTCCACAAACAGACCACTTGTTTAGAGCCAACATAATCTCACAAATGACAGGGAAAAAGAGGTTTGCAGTAGGGTATTGAGTGCCTGAAAACAGATTAGTTGCATTCCAGAAAATCTTCAACTTGCTGCATATTATACTAGTCATTTCCCAGTCTTGCTCAGTAGGCACATTTTTATACTTTGCCTCACGATTTTTCAAGCGAAAAAACACATCCTTGTATCCCATTGCAGTATCAAGCATCAAGTAAGTAGAATTCCATCGAGTTTCACAATCAAGAACTAGCTTCTTGCCACTATAATGTTTTTTTCGACGAGCTGTTTCCTCAAAAGTTTCGTACCTTTTTGGTGTTGCCAACCAGAACTGACAGCTGTTGCGAATCCTTTCAATTGCATCTCCAATTGATTTAAGTCCTTCCTTCACAATTAGATTCAGGATATGGGCAGAACATCGCATGTGGAGCATACTACCACCCAACATACACGAATCTGTTGGCAGCTTCTCCATAAGCAAAGTCATCATTGCATCATTAGTGGAACAATTATCCACAGTGACAGCAGATAGTTTGCTGTCGATATTCCAATCCATCAGACAATGCAGAAGACATTCACAAAGAACATCACTAGTATGCGGAGCAGGAACATAAATGAATCTACAAAGATAAAACAAGAATATCATTAAGCAAAGAACACTAAACACAGCAAAGAACACTAATAATACAGCAAAGAACACTAATCAAAGCAAGAATGAAAAGATACCTGATGAGCCGACTTTGTAAGTTCCAATTGTTGTCAATAAAATGGGCTGTCACAGCCATAAACCCCTTCTTCTGGTGAGTAGATGTCCACATGTCTGTTGTCACTGCCACCCGCCCTTCATTCTTTTCAAACAACTTCATTGTAGCTTTTTTTTCATGGTAAAAAATGCTCACACAATCCTTCTTAATGGTGTTTCTGCATACCATCTTAAAACAAGGATTCAAGCTGTTGCAGAAGCTTCTAAACCCTTCATGTTCAACAATGGATAGGGAGTATCCATGCTTGATGATTGCCCTTGCAAGTTCTTGTCGAGAATTCTATTGTTCAAAGTTGAAAGGAGAGAGTTGGAACCTTTTGTCCTTGTCCAAGTTGGCTTGCAGGAGTTGTTGCTTTAAATCTGTGCAAGTCCTCTTAGGGCATCTGTTGTAGTGCTTTTTCAAGTGACTGGTCCCGTGCTTTGGCTCTCCCATCATCAATCTCTTGCAGTATTTGCACTTGGCCTTCTTCACTCCCCCAACTGTTACTCGATCATAATGTGCCCACCATTCAGAGAAAGTTCTGTTGTTACCACCCTTGGCAGCCCCCTCTTCTTGTACAGCCTCAACAGAATCATTTGAATTCGGCTGATTAATCTGATTTGCATTTGGTTGATTTGCTTGATCTGCATTTTGAACACCAGGGGCAACTTCAACAACGTTTGGAGTTGGAGAAGCTGTTGGGTTCGAGACAGCAACAACGCTTGCAGTTGGTGGAGCGTCAATGGCTTGTCCTTGTTCAGCCATGGATTGTACTGCAAAAAAGAACATTGATACAGTTAAATCTGCTTATTGTAGAGGGGAATGGAATCATTTAAATACCTAAATCGATGTGGAATGGAATCAATTACCTGCCCAGGCCCCAAAAGGAGTTCTTTTCGAGTTGAAGAGATGATCAAATCAGCAAGCACCAATTCTGGAAATAGGGTTTGGATTGTGGTCTCTCTCTGGATTCTAGAGTATGGAGAAGAAGAATCAACCGTCTATTTATACATTCAAAGTATGAACCTGAAGGGATTACGAGTGGGAGCCTGCTGGGAATTGGATTTGCATTCGTAATGAATGAGAATGACTCTCTCTTCCTTGGGGAAGGTAAGCATTCGTAATGAAGGGACTAGAGTGGGAGACACTTTTTCTTGGGAAAGATTAGCATTCATAGTGGGAGACACTATCTTCCTTTCAACGGGCATAGAAGATGAATCGCTCTCCTTGGGAAGTTGCAGGGCGTGAGGTGTTGGAGGGATTAGGGAATATAGGGGGTAGAAGATCAATCGATCGTCCACTTTCTGGTAGTTGCAGGGAAGGAGAAGCGGGGCGGGTCGGGGACGGGGCGGGGCTACAATGATACCCAAGCCCGGCCTGGCCTGTCGGCGGGTCGGGGCTGCCCCGGCCCGTTAATAGACGGGTCGGG